GATGGCGCTGCGACGCGTGCCGGCAGATGAGCGTAGACGCCCGCCATGTGTGCGGCTGCTGCCTCGCACCGGAGCCCGGTGTGCTGGCGGACACACACAGCAGCGGCCGAAACGTCGCGGTTGTGCACACACGCATTGAGCCGGGGGTCTCGGCAGACCCGACGGTGCGCATTCTGTCGCTCCCGCACGGCCGCTGCTACCGCATCGCCGCACCAGCGCCAGTAGCAGCAGAAAGAGTGAAGCACCTCGCTGAAGTAAAGACGACGATGCGAGCAGGTGTTCCTGCCGAAGAACAAGAGGACGAGGAGGAAGAGAACGGGGTGACGACAGAAATGAAGCAGCAGCAGCAACAGAGTACGGCGCCAGCAGCTGGGCGGAGGGACGGACTGCTGCGTGGCGGCCGTGGTCCGCGGAACCGGAAGCCGTACACGCACTTCCTCTCGCTCCCCATAGGAAAGCTGCCGGGCGTGCAGGCCAGTGCGGAGGCGCTGCTGCAGGCGATAAAGCGCCGCTGTGTGGACCCGGGTGCGATGGTCACGGAAGACATCTTCACCACCGCGCCACGCATGCACCTCACGCTGCTTATGCTGTCGCTCCCCACGCGCGAAGCCCTTGCGATGGCCGTGGAGTGCATGCGGGTGCTGCAGGAGGAAGTGCGTCGCTGGCAGGCCGAAAATTATAACACCAACAATAACAGTGGCAGCAACAGTCGCCCGGACAAGGACGCGGGGCTTCAGATCCGCCTCGGCGGCCTGCACGTGATGACGGGGCGGGGGCAGCATGAAAAGAAGGCCGACGTGTTGTACATGGGCCTCGCCGACGCCGCATCGAACGCACGGGTGGCGGCGCTGCAGCAGCTCGTGCACAACTGCTTTGCGGAGTTCACGACGTGCGACCCGCGTGTGGAGGAAAGCCGGCAGCTGCATATGACGCTCATGAACACCAAGTGGCGGCGCGACGGGGCGGTGAGTGGCGGTCAAGACACGCAGGCAAAGTGGCCCCCGCGTGTGCCGTTCGATGCGACGCGAATTCTGCGGGAGTTCGCGCAGGCGACGCTGTGTGGCGACGGCGCCGTCACGCTGGAGCGCATTGAGCTCAATGCGCTGGGCTACGACACGGCGCAAGAGAGTTACCCATGTGAGTCTGTTGTTTCGCTGTAGCTGCTGAGAATATGCTTTGGGTTCTCTACCCATCTATGTCGTCCTTTCTCTTTAAAGGGGGGTGGGGGCCTGTGTCTGCACACCAGCACCCAGACACGGTGGTTTCTGTTAACCCAGCTGGTTTGCTTGTTGCTTGTTGTTTTCTCCTTTTCCTCTTTCTCTCTCTCGCATGCTATCTCTCCCTCTCCACGGCAAGAGGTGCTAGGAGCGCCTCGCCACTTTCCCCTGCTGCATTGTGGGGGCATGGAACTGCCTCTTTGAGTGGCGCTGTCGTCTTTAAAGTGCGGTTCGTCGCTAAGCCGCGATGGTGTACCCTCTGCTCCCCATACAAGCATATATAAGAAGATGCCTATTAGTGGTAGCAGCAACGGCGGGTGGCTCGCCACTCTTGACAAGCACACTACAACTACACGGGCATGCAATCGCTTCTTGCACCGGCGCCAATTCTGCGGGGCTTTGCTTCTCGCAGCCTCGGACGCTGTCCTCTGCGTCCACCACTTCATGACCGTTTCGTGTCTCGCCTGCCGTGAATTTACTGGTGGCAGCGTGAAGGCAGATAGCGGTCAGAGATATTCACTCGCATGCCCCCCAACGCCGTGACGCAGAGGCTCTTTTCCCCTCCCTCTCCTGCTTTGTATATGCGTTGTGCGCCCCCTCATGTTCATCTTCCTCTCTCTGTGACAATTCACATCTGTAGAGTTGTGCATAATGGTGGCCGGGCGGCACCAGCGGTCCGAGCCGCCTCGCATCGACACTGTCTCCCTGGCGCTACGCCGCCACCTGCAGGCTGTGGACGGCTCTGTTGCAGCAGCAGAAGCGGCAACAGCAACAGTGCGGGTACTGCGTCGCCGCCGCAACCTTGAACCGCAGGCCCCGCCACCGTGGCGCACTCCGAAACGGGAGGCTGCGCAGCGCAAGCAGGAGAACAAGAAGCCGCGAGGTTCGCGGCAGGTGTGTGGCAGGTGTCGCCTCAACATGGCGGAATGGCCCTACTGTGGACTCTCGGGGGACCCGCACGCTCTGGAAGAGGCGGAAACAACAGCGACAGCGCAGTAGTCAAGTAGCGCGGTCGCTGTGTGATGGCCAGGGTTAATAACGACACGTCAGCCTAACACATCTTGCAGCAGTTGATCGTTGCGTGGATGTGGCGACCTGGCTGCTCATTTTACACCTCGCTCGCCTAGCCCGTCTTCTGCTCGGCAAAGATGGATTGCCTGTTAGTGTGTGTCTGTGTGTGGGTGTGAGTTTGTGCTGTGCATTCTTGTGTCACCTGGCTCTCTTCCTGATAGAATAGGAGGCCCGACAAGAAATGCGAGGCGCAGAAACAGCAGCAGCAGCGCCCTGTCTTGTGCGGTGGTTGGCAGTTGCGGCGTGCGTGGTCCTCCCAGTCCTCTCTTCGCTGTGTGAGGAGGTGGCCGCTGCCGCAGCTGTGCATGCGCCGTACCTGTGCGTCCTGCCGCTTGGGGACTCGCTGACGCAGGGGCTGTGGCAGCTGGGCTCGTACCGCAGCTATCTGCACGATCTCCTGCTTGCCGAAACTGGCAAGGCCAACGCTCTTATAGCGGGTCACGGCTTTTTCGGCTCCGAGGACGAACACTGCTACGTGATGGACCGTACGGTGCGCAACGGTGTTGCTGCGCACCTGCGCCGTGAGGGCGATCCGACGGCCAGCGGCCGCCCCTCCACGTTCACGATGCCTCACCAGGGGCATTGCGGTTGGTCCGCCAGGCACGTGGCAGCAGGCCTTGCGAGTATATTCAATTCCACTGGTAAGGGCTCGTCGCACGGCACGAAACAGGAACGGTACCGAGCATCCTTTAGGTCGTGTTTAGAAAAGGCGGCGGCGAGGGGGAAGAGTCGTGAGGCGGCACCGCCCGTGCTTGTCGTGGTGACGCTACTCGTTGGGCACAATGACGCGTTCCACTCCGCGGGTCGCTGCGCCCTGCTGAGGCACAAGCCCACGGTCCACCAGGAGAAGCAGAAATGCGTGGAGGCTCAAATGGAGGTGTATAGGCGAAACATAGACGATATTCTCCAGCTGCTGGAAGATGAGTACGTCGTACGCCAGAAGCTTCCTTTGTTGGTGCTGTTCGGCCTCAATCCCCCCACCTACTTCGGTCTGTCTGATAAGCTGCTCCACCAGCACATTCGAGCAGAAGCACAGGAATGGGAGAGGAGGAAGAAGAAGGCTGTTGTGCGTTTGGTGGAGTTTGAGGGCTTTCACGTGGGTCTGACTGTGGACTCAACGCATCCGGACCGCCACGGGTCGGAACTGCTCGCGCGGTGTTGGATGAAGTCCCTCCGGGCATGTCTGCGCTCCGAAGGCTGCGATGCAGGTGGCGGGGGCAATGACGACGACGACGGCGACGGCGCCGTCAGGTTTCTCGAGAGCGCATTCAATGCTTGGGCCCTGTTGGGGCTCTTGGTTGCCGCATTGTGCGGAATGATGGTGTCGTATGTTGTGCGGTGGCGGCGGCGGCCTCACCCACGGGACAGGTGGTCCGAGAGGAACTGAGGGAAGTGTCTGATGCCGCGGTGTGTGCGAGTGGGGCTGGGGGCGCGGTGTGCGGGCGGTGAGCTGTCCTTGTGTCCTGCACCTGGCCGCGACCGCCTGCGCCTTTAAGCGATGGGTGCGGGGGTGCTGGTCGTTTCCTGGTTTTTGCTTTGTTTTATCCTGACTCCCTCTCTGCTGGGCGGTGGGAGGTGGGCAGACATTTTGTCACTGCGCACCCATCACGTGCTCACATCATCGGCGTCCCTGCCCCGTTTGTTTTTGTTCCCTTCTCTCCCTCTGACGACGTCCTCTCTGCTTGCGGAGCAGCTGGTGCGGCCCCTCAGAGAGGACGCTTTCGCTAACGGTGCGCTCCACAACTACACGGGCATGCAATCGCTTCTTGCACCGGNTTTTTGTTCCCTTCTCTCCCTCTGACGACGTCCTCTCTGCTTGCGGAGCAGCTGGTGCGGCCCCTCAGAGAGGACGCTTTCGCTAACGGTGCGCTCCACAACTACACAGAGTCCTTCACAATCGAGGCTCTCTTCCTCTCCTGTACTTTTTCTGTTTACTTGGATTGGGTGAGAAGTTACAAGGAGGAGAGCTACACAATATCATAGGTGGAGACATTGCCGAGTACATGACGTCGGTAGCAACAGCGGAGGCGCTTGATAGCATTCGGAACCGACGGAGTCGGATCAGCGGTGCGGTGTTGATCAATACACCTGACGCAGAAGCGGTGGTCACTACCCCGCTGCAGAGCAACTCCGTCGTGATCACTGACGCGGTCGTGGTGGGGGACAGTTATGCGGGGCGTATCTCATCATGCCCGATGTTTGAGCGTCTGCGTGCCACGGCGAAGAACGACCGAGAGGAGTTTTATCTGAAGCGGCAGCAGGAGGTGAAGCGTGCGAAGGAGTTGTGCCAGCGCCGCGCCCTCGTCTCGGAGAATATTTCGATGGACGAATACTACACAACACTCTTCAGACCGTCTCCGCCGGGAAATGCTGCTGCGGCAACAGCGGCTCTGCCGCTGCAGGTGCCACCGCTGCGTCAACGCGACATGCTGCTGAAGGACTTGGAGAGTACTTTTGTCGCCTGCTACTACCGCATGAACCCGGAGGCACTGGAGCGGCGGAAGGAGGAAGACGAAGCGGCAGAGCGGCGGCGCCGCTCGACCCGTGTAGCCTCGGAACGGATGAGCCGCTCGGAGGGGACGCAGCGGTCACACAGTTTCAGTCCACAGAAAAAGAGCAAGAAACGCAAAGTCAAGAAGGAGCGGCGTGTTGTACCGGTGGAGGGTGCGCCTGCAGTCAACCTCCGCCTCCTCGAGGCGGCGTTGGTTGATGCAGCTGACAGCAAGGGGCTTCTCACGCGCGAGGCCCTCACCGCAGCCCTCACCCCGATGCCGTTTGAGGTGCGTGATGAGGATGCCCTAGAGTCGTTGTTCTTCATCGTGCGTGCCCTTTCGACGGCGAGCGATGCCCTCGACAGCGAGCCGGACCGCCGCCTCGAAGCATCGTTCAGCACGAGCATCCCTGTCGTGCGCGCGGCACCGCCCCGCGGTTCGCTGCAGGTGTCAAGCGCGCAGGTGAC